GTTTATCCCTACGGGCTCGTGCAGTGCAGCTTTCCGGCATCCGCTTTGTTCGGCTTTGGAAGGTCGCAGGTCTTACTGGCCGTGAGTTTTCATGGTTGGAACCGCTTCAAAATGGACGTCAATCCATGCATCGTTTTGCCGGTCTCTATGATACTGACGGATCCCCTTTAAAGTGATGGAGTGTTGGAAGCATTCCACTGTGGTGTAACAGAAAGGCTTATTTGCCATGATTGCAGCTGAAAATGGACGTGTATCAAGCCCTACAGAGCAACCAGATACATTCAGTCATTTTCATTCCCACAAACCCGATGTGGCGTTTGGGAATTCCCACAGTCGTAGGTGATGTTGGCTGGCAGAGAGAGGCAAAAGAAGCCAGGCATGGATGGGACGTACTTCTCACGTACAGGTTCTAGCAGCCCCGACCACATCTACGAACGAAACATCAGGGAGCGGTTCAGATTCTTACAGCCTGCACCTAAAGAGCCAGAGTTCAAGATGCTGTCCGACGCGCAAAGAAATTGAACCTGGCTAGATTTTTTTGGGAGTGTAAGCGGGAAAGGGTAGCCTTTGTCAAAGCTCTCGAGTTTTGTTGGCAAATGATCTTCCCTTTGGGACGGCTCAACACATCCAGGAGAAGATCAATTCCTGATTCAAATGCGTGCTTCCAAAACATAGACTAAATATGGACCGTCATGGTTTTGGTCTCCGTTTGCAAACCATCCGAAAGTTGGCCCTTCATTGTTGGATCCCGCATGCTACCAGAATCTATCAGAGTTCGCATGCCAGGTGTGGATCACCCTCCCGAGTTGGCTCGCCTATTCGGAGCCCCACCTACCGAGAGGTCGGGACGGTTGGAAGTCCAGTCGAGTTTGGCGCTCACCAGTTGGTCAATGTGGGTTTGTCTAAAAATAGAACTCAATGTTGGAACACCCGAAATGGGTGGATTCCTTTTGGTTTCTAAGCCAAGCCCCAAACAGGGAACCCTCAAACAGACACTTATGTGTGCGGATGCTGATACGGTGGGCTCAGCCGGGAATACGGGCAGGGCCACTCGAGGTATGTAAGGATGGTCACCGCCTGAGGCAATCAGCTCGCAGCTGCGAATTTGTTTGACACACACACACACACACAATATCTTTCAGTGTTGGCAATTGCGTGTTTGCCACCCGGACTTCCCACAATCCCCTGTTGCGTCAATGTTTGCATTGCGAATACACCTGTAACACAGGGGCTAGATTTCACAGCAAAGATGTTTGCACCGAGAGAAGGGGTTTTCGGCAAAACAGCTGTTTTGCGGAGTGCCTTCGTTTTGCTCCTGACTTACTCCGATTCTCAGGGGCTTGCTTTGACCCTGGATCTTGCACCATTGGAATTTGATGCAGCCCGCAAGTCATGAAGGTGTCTTCTTTTGATGCTCTCGACGTTTGACAAGCAGGAAGGTAATCTTGCTACACGCCCGGATGCATATTATATGGGTCTTTTACAAAGCCGATCCGAATCTTGTTGGGAAAAGGGTAATATGGCCTGTAGCTCGAGCTCTAAGCTTTGTGCACCAAGCCCGACTGTGTCCCATGTGTCGTGCCGTCCGTGTTCTGCTTCTTCACTTCAATCACTTTTTCGAGCATACTCGTAAGGGCAGTCCTGTTCAGAGACTTTCCTCGTTGCTTGCAAAGGAAAGAACAGGTCCCCAAGGGGTGGCTTGCCCTGGTAAATGCGCCCGCGATTCTGTGGGATTCTCTCAAGCTGCACAAGTGGGAGGTAAATCAACCATCAACCGCATCCCAAAAACGAAGGCCTCGGGGCACCGGCAGAGCTCTGCCGGGCGGAAACAACTGGCTGATTTCTGGGGACGAGCAAACGAGCAGGGTCTATCTTACCGCACAAGGTGTCCAATCACCAGCCAGAACAGTGTCCGACCGCAGCATTTCAGCTCTGGCCGCATGGGCAGTAGCTGATCTGGGCGGGGAGCCTCGAGCCAGGGAGTAGGGACGAATGGGTCGAGTCGATGTGTGGATCCCGACAAAGCAGGGTTACACAAGGATCTCTTTTTCAGATCATCAGATCGGAAAAGAAAAACACAATCTTTGCACACACCCTGACAAGCCAGGGATGTTTTTTCAAGCTGGTGACTTGACCATCTCCAGAAGGTTGGCAAGCCGTGGCCCAGCGGCTGCTGTTTTTGCGGACTTCTCAACATTTTGAGATTTCAACACTCTAGGCAAAGAGAAGAATAAGAAGAACAAGAAGCAGCAGCAGCAGCAGAAGAAGCCGAAAGACGAAGAAGAAGAGGAAGAAGAAGGAGAAGAAGAAGGAGAAGAAGAAGGAGAAGAAGAAGAAGGAGAGGAGGAAGAAGAAGAAGAAGAAGAAGAAGAAGAAGAAGAAGAAGAGAAAGAGGGTGGGAAACAGTGGCTGCGTGTCCTAGTCACAACTTGACCCCTTGACATGGTAGCGGCACGAGTTTGCTTTTACAAACAGGGGTTCCTAGTTTTGGCCCGTATTCATGTGAGATTTTGATCGGGACGGCACCGGGGGTGACTGGGTCAATGGGCGCTTTAGGGTTGAGCAGGGGATGGCCATCAAAGACTTTGATGTGAATGGCTTTGTCTTGACCATGGTGATACTCTTGGCGTTGTGTCTGACATCTACGAAGTGTTCAGCAATTTCTAAACTCAGCACACCTGTTTGTTGTTTCGTCGCACTCAGCCATCTTCTGATCACCGAGCTTGAATGTGTATAGAGGGATTGCGAGGGAATGGCCCACCCTCTCAGTGGGCTTCGAAGAGCTTCTAGTGCTTGGTGTTCGTTGAAGAATGCGCTGGAGAGGTTTGGGGCTTGGTGGCATTTGCACTTACCCTCCCTGCCACATGGATCATGGAGGCCTTGCCCGGGGCCATGGTCTGAACATCTGGCTGGTTATGTTTTAGGTACTCTTTTGAGTTGAAGAAAGTGCGTGAGACTTAGCACAGGTTTTGCCACTCGACTGCAGCTCTTGATCGCTTGAGGAATGGCAGCAAGCATCAGCATCATCGAAAAGGCGTGGGAGGGATCATTGGACATGAGCAAGGGCTTTGTCAATCCAAAACTGATATCAAAGAATGGACTACTCAATCACAATAATTACACTCGGATATCACCCATCCCTGCTCCTCAATCACCGGTCCAAGTCACCAAGCCAAATGGGTGAATGTAAGTGGGCTGTCGGAGTGGTGGGCCAGCCAAGGAGGCTCAGAGAGCCATAGTTCTTTCCTTTCCCAGAGGGTTGCGCTTGCGCATTTTGCATCGGCATGTCTTGTCTCTTGCAGGAATCGCCCGGCTTTTCGCGTATGCCAGGGGAGACAGGCGGAATGAGCCACCAAACATGTCATCGGCTGGTCCAGACATATTTAGGCATCAGCTCAAGCTGCCAAGAGATGTGAAGGCCATGCCCCTCAATAGGTCTGAATGGCTCCTAAAAAGCGGCAAAAAGGGCACCTCATGCTTCATGGGGGCTTTCGGCTGTGGCTCCAAGTGAGTGTTTAAGTGGGGCTTGCTTCGCGTGGCATATCTCATCTGTTTTGCGAGCTGGCTGAAGGCTCAGGCGTCACGGATCCTGATCAATCTGAAGGGGCCCTGACCATCAGTTTGGGAGGGTGAGACTGCGCGAGCATGTGTGGAAACCCGTTCGGTCGACCAGCCGCTTGGCACATTGCTTGCAGTTTTTTTCATACAGGTTGGGCTTCATTGGGGAAACCTCAAGCTGGCTCATGAGTATGGGGATCGAGGCAGCTTTTCCTATATCTCAGGCCCGAGTCGGCCTGACTCATAGGGATGAAAGCTTCGGACTCGTCAAGGAAGTAAAAGGTAGGGTATGTGGGGAAGGGAACTTGTTGCCTTCGTCTTTGAAAGCTCATTTTCTTTTCTCTCTACATGTTCGTTGAAACTTCCACTTTTTTGCTCAGAGAGGACCTTTTGGGCCGGTTTAAAAGGGGGGGATCAGACTCCCAGGAGGAGGAGCCGGATCTGGTTTTGGCAGATCATGCCACCACCATCATGCTCAGGCCAGGGGACCCAAGCTCCTCTATTTTTTGTTTGCCCAAAACCGGGGTCATTTTTTTGTCTACTTTTGGGTGGTTATTTGTCTACTTTGGTTTTCTCCGCGGGTTTTCCTTCAACCCTCTTAGGGGTCACTGGTGAAAGAACGGCGTCTCGAAGCCAAATCCGTGGCGTCTCGAACTGGGATCCGGTCATATGGCGACTTGGATTCGCCTTGGCCAAGTCGTGTGATCCTTTGAGGAGGCAAACCTAAGGACCTTGTCTCCTCTTCACAAGACAACTTTTGAACCAGTCGTCAGTCGCGTAGCGCCAAGAAGCTGTGTCAAAAGCCTGGTCACGTGCTTTGTCATGAAGCAATGGCGATTCCTTGTGCAATCTGTTGTTGGCCTGTCTTTGAAAAGAGGAGATCTGGCAATTGTTCGGGTCGTTGGGTTTAATTCCATGCCGCGCGACTGGATCTTCGTGGTATTTTGTGTGTTTGCTGCCAGAGAGCGACAGTCAACACTTCGGTAGATGAAGGTTAGTATGGGACAGTCCCAGTCACAAATAGGTTTAGGTAAGCATGATCATTGAGAGGCTTGGAGAGGTTTTGCTTCAAGGGCAATTTGCACATCCATGCTGGAAATCCGCACTGACAAGCCATCCCATGGACTTGTTGACTTTATGATTTGGCCAACTGCCTTCTAGTGGAGAAAACCGCCATGCAGATGAGTGGCTGTCAGACACCCTGATGGCCACGGTGGTGAGGTCCATTATCTGCTTAGTGGAGAATCATGAGGAGCAGTCGCAAGATTTATCTCTATATATATATATACATTGCTTGTTTGTATCACGAAGCCACAGTAGATTCAGAAGGCTCCTCAGCTTACTTATTTCTCTGCGGCTACGCACTCCCTGCAGTAATGCAGTAGCCTTTCCAGAGATCCTTGCATCAAACTTGACCCAGGCGCCTGCCCTCTCAACTGACGATGGACATGCTAACGCAGGTCTTGGATCAGGTCTGCCTAGGCAGGGCATTTGGGCTCGCTTCGATTGCATATGACGATCTAAGCGTGTAAGTACATACCCTTTATTTATACCCCTTTGCTTCCCTGGTTTCCAAGCCACTTTATAAGGGGTATATACCCCTTTTTGGGGAGAGGGGTATGAACATCCGTATGAACATCCGCAGGCCTTTTGGGTTCATTTGCCCAAGGGGTATGTAAAACGGGTATGTACAAGCACCCCTGGAGACGATGACACACATATCCGTTTCTCGACAGGACAGGCCACAAAAGGGTCGACAGCCACAAAAGGGGCGGATTGACGGCGGTGCCTAGATTTGGGCCTCACAAACCGCCATTGTGCAAGACGAAGGTTCACCAGACCGCTTCGATAGCTCCCCTTACCCATGAGCTCTCCTGCAATCACTTTGTCATTTTCAAGGAACATATGTATTTTAATCAAGAATATTGTTGGTTGTCAACGTGCTGTTTGGTGTGCTCAAGGTGCGGTGCCAGTTGCTGGTCAGGGGGTTGTTTCGGTGCTGGTCAAGGTGCTGTTTGGGGTGCTCAAGGTGCGGTGCCAGTTTCTGGCAGTGCTTCTTTGGTGCTGCAGTCAGGGTGCTGTTGTGGGTGCTGGTGAGGCTGTTCGGTGGCTCAAAGTGCGGCGGAAGTTGCTAGCGGTGCTTGCTTGGCTGTGGGTTGTGGGTGCCGGTCAAGGTTCTAGTCAAGGTGCTGGTCAGGGTGCTGTTTGGTGTGCTCAGGGTGGTTCCTGGCGGTGCTAGTTTGGCGATGCAGTGAGGTTGTTAGTCAGGGTGCCGTGTTGGGTGCTGGTCAACTGGTTGGTGTGCTCAAGGTGTAGTGTTTTTTGCTGGCGGTGCTTGTTTGGCGACGCAGTCAGGTGCTGGTCAGAGTGCCGATATTGGTGTTGGTCAGGACACTCTCAGTGTTCGGTGGCAGTCTGCTATCTGGGGTCTATGCTCGTGTTCTTGTTCTTGTTGGCATTTTGGGCGTTTGAGTAGTGCATTTCTTTGCTCCGCTTTCCGTCGAGCGCAGGTGGGATATGTCCGTGTCTCTGTTTTTGTTTGTATTTGTGTGCACGTTTGCATTTGTGTTTTTGTGTTTTTGTGCTTCTGTGTGTGCGTGTGTGTGTGTGTGTGTGTGTGTGTGTGTTCGGTTGTGTTTGTTTGTTTGTTTGTATGTATGAATGTTTGTTTGTTTGTTTGTTTGTTTGTTTGTTTGGTTGGTTGTTTGTTTGTTTGTTTGTTTGTTTGTTTGTTTGTTTGTTTGTCTGTTTGTGTGTGTGTGTGTGGATGTGTGTCTGTGGTGCATGTGGTGTTGGTGTGAGTGTGCGACAGCTTGTGTGTGTGTGTGTGTTCATGAGCGTTTGCGTGTGGGCTTGTTTGTATTCGCTTGCACCTGTGTTGCTTTGCCCTTTTGGTAGGGGGCGACATACACACACACACAAAGTGAAGTGCCGTAATTAATTTAGCCAGATACATCCAGATTCCATGCCAGCTCTCCCCCGGTCAAAGGGCTTCTCCAGGCATGACTCAGCAATGCCACGGTACCGTATCGCCACTGGTGTCAGAGACTGATTTAGGTGGATTTGGATAAGAGCTTGCCATTTCTTGGGGACGAGTGCAATCCAAGGCTAAGATACCTAAACGATGTGGAAGATTCTCAAAGAGCTGCAGGCCAAGGTGAGACTAGCGTTGGCAGACAAGCGAAGGCACCAGTTTTCAGCTACTGGATTCTGTCCAGCCTGGCAGGTGAATACGATTTCGTGTACTTCCCCTATGGGAAGCGAAAGGCTGGCACTCTGCTTCTTGCTGGGCCTGGGACATTGCATGTTTGGCGAAGCGAGCGATTGGCCTAGCGTAAGGTAAAGTCTTGAAGCTTTCGATATTGGAGATTTCAACTATCTTCGATATTGGTCAATCCCTCCATTGAGTTGCCCAACTCAACTCAGCGTCTGTTTCCCGCAAGTGCACTCCAGCCCTCGGCATTGGGCAAGCGCCTTTGGCGTGCTGAGCCAAGCTGCGATTCACCTTTTGGGGCTCAGAGGGAGGAACAACTCAGGCTTCCCCAAACAGGACTTGTTTTGCGAATTTCAATTTGATTGAAGATATTGGACACTCATGCGACTCAAGGCGCCTCTTTTCCACTTTCTGGGGCCAAGTGGAAGGGAGGGGGTCAGCGTGGCGCAGCTTTGTAAGAATTGAACTGATGCCTTGAACGCGGTGAACTCAGGGATGATCCTCATGTGTGGTTAGCTCGGACACATCCGCGTACGTTGCAGCACCTGACAACACACTTTCGACATAAAACTCACACGTGTTTGTATGACAATTAAACACCAGCAACTCCAGTCTAGGTATTGCGGTTTCATTGGACCTGGTTTGTCTACAAGAGGGTGCAAACCACAAAGCCATACACTCAAAGCATTCAAGTACAGCCGAGAACGGCTTGCAACATTTGGAGCATGAGCTCCTTATGTGAGCACCAGGGTTCATTTGGCTATCCTTATTCCCGAAAGCATTGCGAAGGGTTTTTCAAGGTTAACTTGGTGCTGATTGCGCAAGTCAAATTGCATTAGCGAGTTACACAAGAGATTTGTTGAGGAAGTTACACAAGCAAGCTTCATCAGAGGTTGCTAGAGCAAGTTACACGAGGACTACACAAGAGCTTTGCAAAGCAAGTGGCACGAGCAAGTTACATAGAGATAGCACAAGCAAGTTGCAGGGGAGTTTTGTTTTTATGTTTTTTGTTTTTTGCGGTGTATGGCGAGAAAAGTAGTCTAGTGAACTCACACCTGAAAGAGAGCAAAGTTCGACAAGAGGAAAATACTCTTTGAAGGCGGCGCTCCTGCACCAACTTGTCGATCGGGGGAGGTCGACCCTCTATGGGGATTGGTGTGGTCGATGTGCAACAGCTGAGGACTCTCGTGGTCGATTTGTCAAATCTGCGGGCTTTTGCTGCTTTGCGCGGTCCCCGCGCAACCCTCTTCTGGGAATGGCGTGGTCGAGGTTCAGAAGCTGAGGACTTGTACTGCGCGGTCAATTGTGGGGAAATGCTACTTTTTGATCAGCGTGGTAAACAAAAAAACATGAGAGGAAATGCTTCCCTGCATGTCAGGAAGCAGGCTTGAAAGCTTTTTCGTGGTTTGCGCGGCCGCTTTTTGGCCAGCAGCCTCGGGAGCGAATCTCCCTGGGTCGTGCTTCGAATACTGTAGCAGCTTGAACGCTGAGCAAGATGCGCAAGGGAGCAAGCTCCAAGGCCTGCAGCAACCGCTGCGCCCTGCAGAATGTTTCGCATTTTGCACCGGTAGTACATTCGCGCATGCACATTGCAAGAATGCATTCGGGCCGCCTGTCTTCCAGTTCTCATTGAAGCCCCAGTGTTCATAATTGCTTTTGTTGGCCTTTTGGCCATCACCTTCAGGCGCGCAACATCGCGCTGGCCTTCATCAACTTCACAGAGCACCGGGCGGCCCTGGCCCTAGCAGTTTGGGATTTACCCCGTATTGGCTGTGATCCTAACTTCGGCCAATTTTTGCGTTGGCGGTCGATGGAGGGTATACTGCAGGACTGGATGAGCGAACACAAGTGCAAAACATGGGACTGTGAGATGTGGAGTCGGATTGCCCCGGTCAACAACATATTGATACTTTGCTTGTGGTGCAGACTCTGCGTGTGCATTTGTGGCTGCATCTCGCTTGTTCACTCCTGGTGGGCCCTGAGCACAATTGAGCGGAGGGTTGTTAAATGGACTTCATTTTTTGGGACACATTAACTAAACCACATCTTTGCCAGGCCTCAAGAGTAGTACTCTTGACCCTAATGTGGGAGGTAGAATTTTGGGCCCTTTCTGGCGGAGAGTTGTGAGGAAAATGGGTTTACGACGCTACCGTTTATCGCAGTACGCTGCAACATTCTCCTTGTTTCTACGTCGCGCAAATGGGCCCGGCGAGCTCGAGGGGCCTGGTCGTCCCTTTTGAGGTTAGGTGCCGCTGAGTGCCTGTTGCGTTGGCGATAAGAGTCGGAGCTTTAGATGTAATGGAACGTTTCAAAGATTGGTTCATACCAAGCAAACCCCTCAAAAGAAGCCTTTCGGATCTCTGAGGCAGTCCGAGCTGCTGCCTTCCTCTCGGCGGACCAAACCTTTGGAGAGCGCCGACCACAGGTCAGCCAGGCGCACGTGCAAGGCGGCTGAACCGGGGGTTCACGGGGACCGGTGCTTGAGCTTGCCGCCAATTTTGTGGCTGAGAGGCCGTTGGGTGGCAAAGGTGGTGTAGCAAAGCCGGAAATATTGTTCTTGTCCGGACATGGGGGAGTGATTCTGCTGCTTGGAGCTTCCCGTTGGCTTACCGTTCTGCCTGTCAGCTCATCCGAATGTCTGACTCTGCCCTTTTTGGAGCAAGAGTTTGAAAAACCGTGATGCAAAACAGCGTTCCTTCACGACGTTTTCTTTCAAGGTTGTTGCGAAAAGGAAAGCCAAGGCTTTCGAGCCAGGATGCTACTTGTTTCTGCTGCTCAAGTTGGTGGCGGCTTGCTTTTGATGGCATTTTGGCTACAACCCGCAAAGAGGTAAACCAAGAGCAGCAAGGGAGCAGAGTCCAAACCCCAAACCCTAGAAGCCACAGCATGAAACCCAAAAGCCGAACCCTAAAATCCTTAACTTCTTAAAACCCTAATCCTGAAATAGGCGGCTTCGTTCGCGCGCAAGTTCGCTCAGGGCTGGGTCCAAACCTCGCGTACTTCTTTGCCCGTTTCGGCTTTCAGGCGGGGACTTCGGAGCCAAGCGGGTCATTGGGGATCATTCCGAACAGGATTCAAAGCGAACGTTTCTTGGTACGAAGCGAAAAGACGCAACGGCTGGGTTTCGGTTGAGTCCGTATCGGCCAGCTGCGCGCTCGATGCGCGAGACCTGAGCCCGTGGCACGGTTCACGCAGTTGGGATCCGTGTTGCGTGAAATTTGGGTAAGACATGTGCACATTTTCCCTCAATCTGGTGGTGTGGGAGCGCCTCAAAAAGGCAACTTTCCGGGCCCAATGTTTACTTTTCGAGTCCAGATCTTTCTTGGCCGCACCAGGAGTTGGATGATCCCCATGCACCGCGTGTGTATGAGGGAGGACCGGATTTTGCCTCGTGCTTTGGAGGTTCTGTCAGCTAGAGAACGACATCACACGGGTGGATACTCTTAGCAAGATAAATTCACCTTTGCGGTTTAATCTTGAAGCTTGCAAGGCACTTGGCACATTGTTCTTTTGCCTCGCAACTGTTGCCAGTATACCAATTGCCCTCCCCCCGCATGGCCAGGGTGATCCGCAGCGCACGAGGAGTCCGCGTCATCGACCTCATGCAAGTCGTGTCGCAGTACGTAAGCATGGACATGGTATGCAAGGCGCAGAATCAATCAGGGTCAGCCCAACATCTGGTTGTTAGCCCCCTGTTTTTGAGTCCCAGAAGGATTTGCCATAAACTCCACCTAAGGGACTTAGAACCAGGGCTTCAATGCACCGATTTGCGGCGTCATGGTTTTCTTCAACTTTGCCCTAAGCTTGGTGCGGAATATTTGCAGCGGGGCATCCATGTTCACCTGAAATCCGGTCTTTGGTATTTGATGCCAACTGTCGGATTCTAGGACTGTGCCCGATGCTTTGGCCAAGAGCCAGGTTTTTCTTATTTTTTCTTGCTCTTGGACCCTGGGGAAAAGGCGAAAGAACTGCTAGGTCTAGGACTTAACTCTCGAACCCTAAACCCAAGAATTCGGACTAATTCATGAAGCCTTTTTTCCTGCTGTCAAACTAGTGCAAAGCGCATCCCAAATCGGATCTACACAGATTCGGATAGTCTGTTCATGCTGGCAAGTGGAAAGTTGCAGACTCGGCTAGCAAGATTGTGCCTGCAGACCTTTCTATTTCAGCAGGTCGTTTTAAAGCATGTATCCATTTTGTGGGCTGATCAACGGAGAATTATAGGGAGCCCTGGCACCCGGCGCTTCAGATGGGCGCGCCTGAAAGACTTGCAGAGCTGCATGTCTTGCGCCTGTGAGATCGCACATGCTTTCTCTGCAACCATAGCAACAGGTTGGGATGTTCTCACAAAGGGGGGGTAGCCCACCTCATCATCAAAGGGCACTTCTCTTTTTCAGGCCCCTTCCAAAGTGTCCTTGTGATTCTTTCGGGCTGCAACAAGGGCCAGCCAGCCTGTAGAGCAAAAGCAATGATGACCAACTACCGGGCATCGACTGTCAGCGGCCAAGAGTGACAACCAATCGCCGAACAAGAATCATCAGTCGGCTGCCAGCAAACATGAACAGTTGGTTTGCCACCAGACAAGAATGGGCCTATCTCAAAACTGGGCTTCTCTTTTTGACTGGCTTCAAAGGGAAACCAAAAGGCAACAAAGCACCCGCAGGTGGTTGAGAAACACCTTCTCAAGAGCCAACACTTCACTGGCAACAGACCGCGCAATGATCAGTGACAGGATGCACAACAACAGCAGCAGCAACGCCAGCAGCAACAGCAACATCAACAGCAGGAGCAGCAGCATCAAACAACGTAACATTCACCAAGAACCACCCACAACAAGGGTGACACCAGTCTCACTAACAGCACAAACTGGCGTCCTGCCAGGCGCAGGAGCTCCTACAAGTTGAGAGTTCAGGCAGGGCAATCCGGTTGCAGGGGTTTTTCGGTTGGTGAATCATGTGCCCAGAGTCTATTGCGTCGACAGTCATTGGCAAGCACGGGTGCTTGGTGCCTTTATGCAAAGCCTCACCACGGTTCCCAATCCATCTCTCTTCAGTTATTAGATCCAGCTTCTTGCAATACGGATCCAGCCATACGGGTCCCAAAATGGGGTTTTCCATGAAGCTAGCTACTTTATCCGGGCCGAACTTTGGAACCTACTGCAACTTGCGACGGACAGCAAGCCATGCGATGGTTTAAACAGGCAGAGACAGGGAGGATGCAAGAAGCTTGCACCTCGCGAACTTTTTGCCATAGGCCCTTGTTTTGGGAAAGCAAAGCACTTTCCTGGCGGGAGGCCATGCTATAGCGAGCAACCAGATTCTGACAAGGGAGCCATTTGCAAATCTGACAACACTTTGACTTATGGGCACACCTGGCTCAGCAATGCTCACATAGGCACGCACACCCAGGAAACGCAGCCTGGCTGAACAGGCGTTCCAACAAACGCTTCAGAGTCCAAAGTCAGGAACGCAGCTCGCGGGCACGCAGCTGATTTAGATTTTGGTTGAAGGATGCGGTCAGTTCTGGCATCGCGTGCCTGTCCCGGTGCATGGCGCGGTACCTGGCAGAGTAAAAGCCATCAGCTTGGGCTAACTTGCTCCAAGCTTCCCCCACTAGGCTTCCCGGGCTGACCCAGGTTTGCCTAAGGAGACGTGTATGAATGACAAATGTCAGAGTCATTATACGGTACACAACGGCGAATCCAGGCCGGAGTAGTTTTTGCCTATTTTTGAGACCGGTTTGGAGGAACTGCACGTGCCCAACGCCTCTGGTCGGGCTACCGCGGACGCGCGTCAGCAGAGCGGGGCATAAGCTGAAGATCATCCCTGAAAGCGTCCAATCAAAACAGCTGGAGCCCACGAGGCCACCCGGAGCTCACTACGAGCCGACCCTGCCTTCGAGAACTTCCAATCAAAACAGCCGGAGCCGGAGTCCTGAAACCCTGACAATTTCCACGCAAAAAAAGAGTGGGCGGAGCCTGCTTTTTTGCCCGACGGGGAACATGTATTTCTTAACAACATTTATAGTACTTTAGAGAAGGAACGGGGCAAAGCCGGACAAAGGTCACCCTGTATGATAGCCCCTGGTTGTTCTCGAGGGCGCCGCCCGGTTGTTTGTCGTTTTGCAAAGGTTGGGGCCTAAATCTGAGGCCGGAAAAAACTTTGGGCATGGCTTCGCCATCGCGGGCGCTTAGTGTGTGTGTGTGTGTGTACAACAGCGGGGCTGTGTGGCGGGTCCACTTTTGACGTATTTTTTGGAAGTCGTTGCGCGCGAAAATGGCCTTCCTGCCAACTTCGATCGCCGTGCAAAGCGCTGATGTGGAGCCGCACAGTCGCCACAGCAGCAGCTAGAGTTGCAGCGAAGGAGGTTGCTGCGCGTGAGCGCAGGTGGTTTTTATGTAGCAGCGCTCACGTCTGGTGAAGATGAGGGCGTGACTTACATCATGTCTGGACTGGGCGGGCAAGCTATCCACGACGTGGTTTAAGATGCGGTTGCAGTACGAATTGTCCAGTGTTGTCGCTTGCGTGCCTTCTATCTGAAGAGCTTTGTGGTGCGAATTTGATGCTACTGCGACCGACATGACGAGTGCTAATGGGCCCCATGGCGCCGGAGAGTTGCAGGCGCCGTTGAGGCAAGTGGCTACGCAATTATTTCGCAATGTTAGCTGGCTTTGCTCCAGGTTTAAGGTGCTTTAGACGACTGCAAATCGCGGTTCTGGGCTTTCTCCGCGCATTGCGCTCGTGCGCTCTACATGATTACATGATGCCATGCAAGTGGCGGCAAGGCAAAACCAAACAAATGTAGTCTACTGTTGACTGTTGGTTTGGGAAGGGCGCGAGTGACAACCCAGTTTTCCCGCAAAGACAGCCCCAATTCCTTCATGTCATTGAAGGGAAATGATATTGCCCACGTCGCGTTTAATTGTGGAGGTCTTTGGGCAATTTGCTTGTGATCAGCGTTGTGGGCTTGAGCTTGCGCAGCCAGGCTTCAAGAGGTAAAGCAAGCGACTGCAGATTGAGAGGGGATACCATTATAAGTCTGGGGCTCACGGGAGTCATTGCAATCTTTCGATGCTCATGCGCCAACTCGAGTTGGGGGCTAATGTTCCATACCCCGCTAGTAATGCCAGGCGTCGTTGCGAAAGACGGTCGTCGTCGCCGTGCCCGAAAAGAAGACTCCAAATCAGGCCGGGGGGAAAGGGGGCAACGGGTGGTTTAGGTTTAGTTTAAGTAAGGTGTGGTGGATCCAAGTGGAAACCCAGTTTCTTTCCATGCTTTAGGTCTTCAAGTTACCTCTTAAGTTCTCTCTGTTTGCTTCCAACCTTTTGAGTTGACCATGCTGTGCCGGAAAGTAGCCCACGGAGTACTCTCTGAACGATCCAGTGAACTTGCTTGACCCAGTCACAACAGGAAGGGTTTTCTCTTCTAGAAGCAATGGCCGAAATGGCATTCAGACTTGGTAAGTATATGGTTCAGCGACACACAAGGGAGTGAACAAGTACAAGGTTTGGACAAACGCCTCCTCAGGAATCAGCAACGTGAGTCCCAAAACCGATTGCTGGCACACCCAGTGCAACATACTGCAAACTACGGGAAGCGATTAACTCCAGCCTCTTGCAGCTATTCGATGACTTTTTGTAGCCTGACGGAATAGGTTTTGCAGCCCGCCCGGCTAGGAGAGCAGTTTCGCGGAGAGCCAATGTACCTGGACACGAGAAGCAGGCGAGGGTGCTGGTTGTTGAGTGCTTTTGACCAACGGCAGGGGAAGCCTTGCTTTTGAGTTCAAGGCGTCGAGCTGAAGGCATGTGGGGGGAGGGGGCTTCGAGTGCCTCACTTTCAATGATTTCCGGTGACAGGTTTCTCTTTCCGGTTTGCGGCATTCAGTTCCGGTGGTTTCGGCTACCGGCCTGAGGCGGCCAGGTGACATTTTCGCAGGAGGTAGTCGCAGCGCCTTCGAGCCTTCGAACTCTTTCTATTAGGGATACGTGCTTTCGCAATAGCCACTCCATGGAGAGACTGGTAACGGACACACATATAGAAAGACAGAAAGCTAGAAGGATAGAAGGATAGACGGATAGAATGATAGAATGATAGAATGATCGAATGATAGAAGCAAGGAAGACAGGAAGGAAGGAAGAAGGAATGAAGGAAGGAAGGATATCAACCTAGAGACAGAGACAGAGAAAGGCTATGTGCAGTCTGTATCCCGCCTTTGGGCCTATAGGTGGT